TCTTCCGTTGCCTTGTCCTGAGCCTGTGAGACTGATCTTGGCTGGGATACTGTGGGGATCGAGCAGTCTGCCAGGAGCTGACAACAGGGTGGAGAGGAGCAGGGAGTGAGTTGAGTCATGGCTCGGATCGCTCCCCACATCTCATACTGAGCTGCTTGTCCTCCCCAGAGCTTCCCCTGTCCTGCTCCTGTTACGTGCTGCTCTTCGTTTAGTGCTTGGTCTGGCCAGCAGGTGTGATCTCACGCTGTGCCGCAAAACGTGCACAGCAAAGACCACAGCGGCGTGCAATGGGGACAACTTTTAGCACCTCATGTATTTTAAGCTTGTCTAGTTTTATCATCTTATTTCCTTTTAGTGACTAAGAGAGAGATTTCACTGTGCATCTGATTCCTTTGCTCTTTCCTTAATGAGTTCTGTACATTCGAACATGTATGTCCTGGAGCAAATTCAACACAAGGTCCCTGAAGAAGCGTTAAAGGTAAGGGGGTACAGATGCAGGTTTTTTTTTTTTTTTTTTTTTGTGTAGAGATGGTGGTGTCTACAGAGTGCTGCACAATTTAAAGGTGCCATTTTACAGCTTTACAATTTTTTTTGAGTGCTCTAGTGATGGCCGTGTAGAAGTTTTTAAGCAGTCTTGATGGCAGCAACAGTATCCACAATGTTAGACTCTCCTTGGAGTGATACTTAACAAAACTTTCCTTTAACAAAACCTCCTTTGAGAGGGATATGTTTCCCGGTTATCTCAGCTCTGATCTCTTATTCCTGTGCTAACATCTAGATAAAGTTATTTATGATTTAATAGCTGCCCGCAAAGGTTTCCTGAGCTGTAGTATATTAAAGAACAGTCAACACATTAACTTCTGGTAGAAGCATAGCAGAATTTGTTCTCTCCCAAAAGCGGGGCATGAATGCCTTCCTCGGTGTGTGGTAACTTAAATCAGCTCCATCACGTTTCTTCCAGCCAGCTAAAGTTTGCTTAAATTATTCCTTCTTATATTCTCATTTTTGTCTTCAAGCTCCCAATTTTTCTTTACTGAGCAGTGCTCTTATCAGCAAAGTGTGTTGTTTTTTGTTTTTTTTTTAAAAAAAAAAAAACACAGCGTTCAGGATCAGGTACAAAACACTCTAGCATCCTCTTATCTAAGGCAGAAAAGCAACCCCTTCCTGGCAGGAAAGCTGTCCTTGTACAGCTGAAGGATTAGGCTATCAGCACCAAGCATCAGTTGTTGGCCAGCACGTGCTGTCCTCTTAGCCCCAGTTCCACTTTTAGGACATTGAGAGGGTCAGAATAGATATTAACAGATAGTATTGGGTAAATGATTCATTGAATTTACTCAGGGGTAATCTTGACAGGTATACCCTTTTATTAACTTACTTGTAATAAATCCACTTTTAATTAAATCATTTGCTATACCTAAAGTTAATATGGAACCTTTTTTAAGGCAGAATAACGTTCCTAGCTGGAGAGAGTTTGGAGAGAAGTAATTAAAATATATTTTAATTGCCTTTACAGAGAAAGTGAGATAATGCAGATGAGTGCCCTGCAAGAATTTATAATGCTGCTTTAAGAACAAAGGGGACTTCGGGATTTGAATCTGGAATGGAAAATGATATAAGTTCTGATTGTTCTCAGTTTACTCTTTAAAGGGTTTCCTAATTAGTTGGTTTGCAGAGCTAAGTCACAATGACCTTCTCATGGACTAGAGTTGTCACGTAATATCTTCCAAATGAGGTATTTGAAAGCCTTTCAGCTGGCATTTCTGCCGTTCTTTAGCTTCTACTCAGGTGTGTTTTCTTCTTGTTACAGAACATTGCCACAGCGTTTGCTTTTGTATGATCCTTTTGGTGGGGTGGGGTGGTGGTATGAGGATCATAGGGTGCTACATATAGCACAGGGGCACCCTGCAAGCTGTTGCTTATGTCTCTGCAGCATGAGAAGTACACCAGCCAGCTTCAGATGAATTTCAAAGGCACGGCAATGAAGAGGGCGGAGCAGTCCATGGAGCACGGTGTCTACACTGAATCCCCGCAAGCAAAGCTGGAGAAAGGAGAGAGGAAAGCAATTACAGGTACTTGCTCAGGAACCAGTTAATCAAGATTCAGGACAGCCACATGCTGCTCATTCCCTGTGCGAGGTCAGAATCATAGTGCAATGTCATAGCTCACTTACAGGAGCAGTTGCAGAAGTGTCGTCTTCCTAAAGCTCTGTTTTAAGTATTTCAGACTATCAGTTTTTGAAGGTTCAGCCTCCAGAAAATTTGCTGGCATAATGATTCAGGCAAGCCTTGCCATCTTGTGTATGCTGGAGAACTTGCGGGCATAGCAGGTTTGGCACCTGTCTGGTCTGTTTTTAAGTTCCTAATCATGAACTGGTGTTTGAACAGCGGTGGTGACTCAGAGTAGAAAATGCATGGCTGCTATGGTGTGGTACTGGCAGGCAGGCAAAGAGGCAACATGGAATTTGCTGAGGGGAGGAGAAAAAGAAAAGGTATGGTCTTGAATTACTATATTTCTTCACACACCATTATGTGGGATTGAAACTGATTGCCAGACTGGGATACGTTTGTTTCAGGTTCATTGCTCACTGCTGTAAATCTGTTCCATTTGAAAAATGTCCTCTGTTGCCCATTTCTTTACCCATTGCTACGTCCCTTTAAAGCCCCTTTATTATTCCTGCCCGCTCAACCCTGTGCTGTTCCTTCCCTGTCGAATTCTATGAGTGCCACCTGCTTCTACCCTGTTCCCCACCATGGTGGGCCAAGACCTCCCCAGCAGCCTTCTCTCACTTGTTTGAGCTTCCTATCTCCTCTATGCGCACCGGCACACCTCCAGTTCTGCTCAGATATCTGTTAGTGACCGTCTACAGCTTGATGTAGAGGAACAAATGTGGTTTTAAAGCATCCTGGTGATTGAGGACTTGCCAGAAGCAGTCTTCTAGTGCCATGATGGCAGAGCGGTTGAGAAGTTTTAGATTTAGCAGAGAGCCTGCCTGTCTGTGAAGTGGGCCTGTCAGAGGAAGGAGAGAGGAGGTGAATGCAAGGAAGGAGGCGGGTGAATAAAAGTCGGTCTGTTGCCAAGAGCAGAGGGTGACCTAGAGGTTGATACAGCAGCTTTCTACAATTGTGTACGACTTTGGGGAGAGCTGTTAAGGTTTTCTGATCTCTAACTGGAGTGGACTGGCTGACCTTAATCTCCCGTTTATTGTCTTTGTGAAAATCCCTCTAAGCTGATGTAGTGTACTAAAGCAGTGTAATATTTCTCTTTGGTACATTTGCCTCCGTTCTTGTGGTTCTTACCTCCAGCTGTGCGTGGAAGCACACACATCTGTGCACCTGACTCCCATTCCCTGTGCCAGAGAAACAATTCCTCATGTTGCTTTAGATGTGCTTGTGTTTCACCCTCCCCTGTGGATGTGGCATTTGTGACTTGACCTCACAAGTTAAAGGGATGGAATTGGTGGTGATTAACTGTGACACTGTGGAGGGTAAAAAGAGGTGAACTTTCCTGGGAGGAGAGCTCTCCAGCTGTGCTGCAATGGGTGCTGGCTTCTTGAAAAGCTTTGCCAATAACCTATCTGTAAGGCTGCAATCAAACCAATTTGCTTCTGTTCCATGAACATTCTCATTTCTATTCTTGTCATCTTCCAAAACGTGCACTAGTTAGTTTTAACCTAATAGCATAAGCTGTTTATATTTGGGAACATCTGCAAAGTCAGGACGTTGAGTGGCTCTTCAGCAGCATGACCCGTTTCTCTGGTGCATGGTTCACGGACCTGCATTACATTTTTATCATGGTTAGTAGGCACAGGCCAGAAGTTGGAAGGAAAAAGGGCTGTGAGTACTTACTGGGGGCCGCTGATGAAGTATGTTGCCTTCAGTAGGACTGACAGCCAGATGTGAAAAACCTCCTGTGAAGTGCTGCTAAACCCACTGAAAGATGGAGGAAGTGAGGATATTTTGTTGGAGGTATTTTGATGGCCTGGACTGAAACCCGTGGAAGCAAGGGAAGGAGTGTGAACCTCTTTGGAACGCATCTCTGTCACATGAGCAGAATGATTAGTGGGTTTGTATTTCATCTGCCACATGACTAATTCATCTTGTATTTAGCTACATGCATGCACAGTTTTTCTCTGTTGCTTGGAGAAGTGGCAGCAGTTTAAAATGACTAGTGGAAAGAGGAATATAGTATCTTATGGGGGGAGTGGGCTTGCTCAGTGCGAGTGGAAAAAGAGGCTTTGGAGAGAGACCTGTCTTGCTAAGCCTGAAGGTATTTGGGAATTTGCATTGACTCATTAAAGCAAGGTCTGGAGTGACAAAGGCCTTTAGAAGGATCACTTCCCAGAGCCCTGGTGGAAAAGAGGCAGAGGGAATGCAGGCTTGGAGGGAAGAGGCTGAACAAAACGATGTGAACAATTAGACCTGGTTAGAAACGGGAGGAGGTGAGGGGTGGAGATAAAGACATCCAACCGATTGAATTGGAAACAGCTAAGCCATTTATTCTTTATGCTGCTGAACTTGCAGCTTTTTGGTGTATGTGGCCTGTAAGCAGAAAATCACCAGCCTTTGTGAAATGTTTTTCCAGGGGAGGAATTTGGTAAGGTCTGTGGGTTAGATGTTGATATGAATAAGAAAAGTGCCCACAGTTTAGCTAGTTAATGTCAAAAATAGCCATCAGCTCGCATGTTTAAAGCCTTAAGCGATCAGAAGGCCAGGTACAGCCTTGCACCGAGCAGGTTTTAAGCCTCTGTCGCAGTCACCATCTGTTGCTACCTGGATTGAAGTACTGAATGACATAAGCTACTTTATGGTCTTCTGATCTCAGCACATAGTTAATCTTCAGACTGGTCATAAAATACACTGGTGTGTTTTTTTTTGTTTTGTTTTTTTTTTTTTTAAAGCCCTCAAAGGCTCATGGCACTAGATAATGCTAAACCTGATGACTACAGACCTGAGTTTCCAGGGGTGGAGGCTGTCCACAGCTTCCAGCTGAAATGGGCATCATCAAACGCAAGGGCATGACTTGAGTTTCTCCATGGTTCTGTGAAACAGGCTTGCGCACTGGTTAATGTTGGTATAATTATGGAGCAGTTTAAACAGAACAGATAACTGGAAAGTCTTGTCGGTGTCCAGTGCTGAGGTCAGCAGGCAGCTTGGATGGAAGGGATTTGTGCCTAGTTGTGGAGTGGTTTCCATGGTCTTCGGCTGCTTTCTCCATGAGATCATAGTAATAGTTGCTTAGACGCACAGCTCTTCTCTGGCCTCTAATTTAGGATGGTAGTGGTGTATCTGCTTCTGCTCTGAGCTAGTTTGGTGGTATCTGCAGCATGTTAAAGGCTTGACCATTTAATTAGTACAAATAAATTTGTGAATATCAGTTGGATTTGAAAGCCTCCAGGATTTGTGTGTGTTCATGGCAGTTTTGAAGGGGGGGGGGGGGGGGGAAAAAAAGGAAAAAAAAAAAGACCAGGGTTTAGGTTTGCAACGCACACAAAGTAAACATTGCAGTGGAGAGCCAAAGAATTGCTTTATGTTTATTCCTGCTAGGTTAGAATCCTCTGTTTGGGAGAGCAGGAAAGAAACCAGAGACGTCAGGGATTAGTTTTAAAATGTTAAAGCTAGTTCATCTTTTTTTCCCCCAAGGCCTCTGCCATAAGAAGCCTACTCTGCATCTTCTAAGATGGACATTTGTGTTATTAATAATGAATCAAAAACAGCTTGACTTAGAGCAAGCTGGGTTTCTCGTGCTTTTGTTAATGACTTGCTGTAGCAAGCTTCAAAGCTGTGTGTGCCTCTGTCAGCAAAGAAATGTGCCACTGTTGTCTGTCTCTCTCTCACGAGTGTTTGAAGCTTTCCGAGGACTTGAGTGAAGCGCAGCCCTCAGTGCTGTCCCAGCCAGGCAGCTGGTGGGAGAGCCCTTCTTCAAAGGAAATCAAACCCTTCTGTGATGGGAGCTGCATGTTCGTCATGAAAGCTGTTCTACCCCCTTGCTGGTAGAAAGCTGTGTTACCACAGGCTTTCTTCTTCTCCCTTTGTTACCTGGACTGTATTTTTGGTCTTGCCCTTGTGTTACTCTGTGATTCACTTCTCCATAAATATACCCCCTTCAAACATGTCGTTTTCTTGTATTGTGGTATCTTTCCTTCAGATGATCAATAGCCCTCTATTAATTTAACAGGCCGCGTTCTTGTCAGACTTGTTAAACAAACGGACCTCCCTTGTTCTGTGCTAAAACAGCCTTTATTTTTTTCTTGAATGACTGCCCCAAAGACTGAAATCCAGGAGGAGAACATGTGCATGTCAGTGGTCTTTTCTGTATTACACTGTCACCGATAGCTCAGTATTTGTCTGGCTGAGTGCTTGTACTGACCTCAGTTCGGTTCTCTGAAAGGATGGTTTTCAGGCTGTCTGCCTGAATTGATGAGCCAAGAAATACGTCTAAATGAATTGGCACCATCTGGCCAGCCTGGCATGGAGTCGAGAGAGGTGGTAACGAGCTGCCATCAGTTGGAAGAAGTCTAATATCATTAAAATGACTGAGTAGGTAGTTTTCATTGGTGTTCCTTGCTTCCTCACTGACTCGGGCAAGCCGTGAGCCTCTGTGGAGTCCCAGGAGCTCTTAGCAGACACCATAAAATACAGTAGACGATCTGTAGGTTCAGAGCAGTGTGTATATCAGGACACGGGCAGACCTGCTGCTCTGGGTGCTGCTGGTCCAGGTTGAGGTTGCTACCCAAAATGCATCCCTGCTGGCAGAGAGCAAAGCCCCTTGGATCTGCTGGCTCAGCTGCATATGTAGCTGCTCCCTGGCCTGCTTCTGTCCCAGCCATCTGTTTTAGCTCCATTCTTTAGCTTTTTATTTTCTTTTTTTTAAACAACGTTAGCTTGTTAGAGCTGGAAGGGGGAGAGGCCACTGGATCCGTTGTGCTGGCAAATAAGAAGGGGCAGTAGTTTCTGTTGGGAGCAGGGCAGCAAATTCACGTAGCTCTTCTGAAACTGTGGAAAATTTATGCTAGCTCAGGCTCTGGCCACTTTTAGCAGTAGGTGAGAATTAGGGCATCTGTGTCACTTGATAAAGTTGTTGTGCAAAATGCAAATTAATTTGAAGGCTCAGTGGAAACATTAATTGCTCTTAAAATACTGAAACCGTCCCTGAGTAGCAAGATATTGACTCCTCAGCTTCCCATCTGTGCTTTTTGCGTTCTTTAAAATGAAGCAATGAAGCTCCAGTTTATTTGTGGAGGCTGGGAGAGGGAAACAATGAAAAATAACACAGAAGTGAACAGAGACATCGTGCTGAACGCACACTATGACAGTGTGTCAAGGGAAGCCATGTAAGCTCTTGTCATGCCCCTTGGACCTGGAGGGCAGGTTGTGGCTTCTGCCAGGATGCAGTGAGAGCGGGCTTGGGACTACTCTAAATTGGTCTGTCGCCTCGGCTGAACCTGATGTGCTGACTGTAACGGCTCCTTGATATGCCCCGGGTTTTTGGCCTTATGCTAGCTAGCATTTCTCAGAGAGGGAATTTTGGGGATTCCCAAATGCCTCGCAGGGCCTCTCTAGGTTTAGAGGGGACGACTTGAAGAAGATAGAGGAACTGGCTAATCATTCTTTCTAAATCCTTTTTTTTTCTTTGTGCTTTCTTTTGTCATCCCAACGTTCCCTTTCAACCAAAAAGTTTGACCTAGATTAAGTTGCTCCTCCAGCTGCCTTTATCCCTGTAGTAGAAAAGCTCTGGGGGTGAAGGCAATAGCTCCTGTGTCTTGTGCAAGGAACACAGTTCTCAGGATTGGAAAAGAGACTGGGAAGAGATCTGTCCTGCAGGATGGGTGCCCTCACTGAGCTGTTTTAGCTCACTTTGTCTCTTCGCATTTCATTTGCAGAGCGGTATTTTCAGGATTTATTCCACCAGCAACCTAACAGTAATCGCTAATGAGCTTGTCAGAGTTGATTTTATTAATCCAAGACAAGCCTCCAAAATCTCATGCATCTCTTCAGATTTGAGCCCTTCAAAGTGCCCATTGGAGCTTTAGCCATGAATCATCTTAGACACATTTAACTTGTTAATAGATTTGCCCGTAACCCTGGAGTCCTGGTATCCTTTTCCCAGCCCTGACTACCATTTGGCGATGAACCCCAAGGTTAATATTGCACTTCAGAGGGTGGTAGTCCATTGCAGTGCGTACCCAAAAGGTATTCCCTGGGACATGGGTAAAGTGAAACCCACATGGTTGGGGTGGATGATCTGGCAGAGGATTTGTGGTGTGAAGAGAGGATGATGGGTTTCGACTAGCCTAAATGACAGATGATCTCAGCCTAGCAGACACAGTACGTTTGGGTTCCTCTGTTCATTGACAAGCTTTTGAATAGTGTTTTTTCTTTTTCCTTTTTTTTTTTTTCACCCTTCTCTACCTAAAGTGTTTTACCCATCCTCAGTTATGCAACATATTGCTTGGCAATTCCAGTTTATTCACAGTGAGAAATGCTTCCTCCTTTGAACTTTCAAAGTCCACCTACATAACGGGAATATAGTTTATCTTCTGTGCACTCTAGGCAGAAAGGAGTAATATTTGCAACCTCTTTTGATCGTCAATGTGAAGGGAGGCAGCGTGTTTAATTTTGAAACATGAAGAAGATCCCTTGGAAAGGGCTAGTGGGCTGCATCTGTAAAGCACAGTTTTTGCCTGTGGAGTATGAATGTATGAGCATATATATTTATGGAAGTGTTCTAGGAAAAAAAAAAAAACCCTGAAATAGTGGTCATTGGATTTGTGTAGCGTTAGAAACAACAGCATAGAATTAGGCTTCTTTTTTCTTTGCCTTACTTAATTCCCCTTCCTCTCTTCATTCCCTTGACCATATTAACAACTGCTTTCTGTCATGTCCCTGTTAAACTAGGGAATGCAAAATTGCAGAGCTGTTGAGGGCTCCTTTAAACAGAGCAGCGTGTGGTTTAGAACCACAAACTGAGCAGTAGCTGGCAGTAGAAGCTCGACTGTGCCTCCGTAGCTGGAGCCAGGGTTAAAGACGTGTCCAGTAAAGCGTGTGCTGATGGCTGTTATGGATGGAGGCAGAAGCTGCTAACAGTACTGGAACATCTCTTTGTGTTAGCCTGAGCCCCTGATCTGTATTTGTGCCGCTGTCACCTTAACGTGAAAGAACAAAAGCTATTTTATTTACCTCTCTTCAACTATTATAAAATCATAATAACAACTATTTCCACAGGTAGATTGAAGTGCATTCTTTTTACTTGTAATATGAGCAGCAGCAGCCCAAGGCATGCCGAAAATATAATCTTGTTTTGCGGGAGATAAACGGTTGAATGAGTAGCAGTGGATCAGTTCCTTTGGATACTTGTTGTGATGAAGCCCTGATTTTTCTCCGACTGCTCACTAAGCAGAGAAAATAATTGAAACGTAGCGCTCCTAAAGGAAGCTTCACCAGGAGAAAAATCACTGTCCTGCACTGACTCTAGAATCTGCCTCCTTTGACTGTAATCTTTTGAGAGTGGGAGTTTACTTCCTTTTTGTATGCATAAGGAAAGGATTTTGCCATTTTCCTTAAATTTTTAGCACTTAAGAATTTCCTGTTGTGCGATGTGTATCATTATTGTGTGGGGGGGGGGGGGGGAGTGGTGAATAACTGGAGAAAAACCCTGACCTCACAACATCCCAATACATGGTGGGGCCAGAAAGGGCAGCGCTCTTTCCACTTCCTGTGAATAATTAGGCTAATAAGAGAGGGAAGCCACTACTTGGGAAATACAGGTATGAAAGAAACTGAATGTAGCTGGGATCTGCATCTTGTAGCAGAATGTTTTTAAAAGGAAAAAAAAAAAGAAAAAAAAGAGAAAGAAGTCCTGAACGTAATTGTTGCATACGATTTGTGGTTGTTATAACTGCAATATAATGGATATGTCATCTCATCTTACTCCGCTATTTTTCCCTTTATGGGATGTGCCTAACTTCTGTGAACCTGGGAAATAGATGTTTTCTGTGTCAAAGTATTTGCTTATCCTCTTCCTAGAGACCAGTACCTACCGCACCCCTCTTTATGGCCAGCCCTCCTGGTGGGGGGAGGATGATGCAAATAACAAGGAGGACAGAAGACAAGAGGAACATTACTCAGGTAATGCAAATCATCTCTTAGGGAGGGGATAGAATTGCTGCATGCTTTTGATCTTAGCTGCGCAAAGACATTCTGCTTTTAAAACTTCAGTTACTACCTTTTTGTACTCATATTTGCACGTTGCTATGTGTAGATTGCTGCCAGTGAAACCAAAATGAGGAGAAATAAAATGTTTCCCCTAAAATATATGAAGGTTATAAGCAACAGTTGTGGACTACTTCAGTATGTATGAAAAAGGCCTTGCTAAGCTGGTTGGAGACCTATTTATACAGCAGTGCTGTATCTGTGGTCATATGTATGTGAATAATATGAATGTGAATAATCCATACAGTGCATGCCCATCTCCCAGGAGTTTCTTGTTTTAGGGGCAAATTAAGAGCAGGTGCATAGATTTGATTGACCAGAAAGCTCTCTCTTTCTCACCTCATCGTCCTTGGAAGCCTTCCTACTCCCATTATTGTGAATCTATATGCTTGAAAGATGTATTTTTTTTTTTTTAATCTGTGCAGTAAATCTGATGCTTCTATCAAGCGTACGTTTTACTGCACAAAGCAGTGTTTAACTTCTGTGCATGTACAGTATATCTGATAGAGGGGGGTTGTGATATGCAGTGTTGCCAAGAAATTGAAATAAGTGAAATGACCCACCTGGCCAAGGGGTTTGGGTACTACTGAAAGGATGTATTTGTATCCTTGGGGATATTACAGGATTAAGCCTTTATCCAGCGAACACTTGCCCGTGATTAGCTTTGCATACTCAAGCTTTTCCTGTGAAATGACACTGTAGAAGCATGAGCAGCTGTTTTAAGTGGAAGTGAATTCAGTGGGGTGAAACAGAATATCTCCTGTCCACATCAGCCCAGGCATGCAGAAACCTTAAAATGCCACCATTCATTTTAACAACTTCAACTAATGTTTGCTTGTGAATTTAATGTTTTGCTGCATCCTCCCTCCCCCCCTTTTTTGTAGAAAGATCAAAAGAGATAACCCAACATGAAGAGGAACTGAATGGTAACATTTCTGCTTATAGAGATTCCCAAGAACAATCTGTGTTTGCTTTTCGGAGAGAGCCAAGTTACTTTGAGATCCCAACTAAAGAATTTCAGCAGCCATCAAAATCTCCGGAAACACAGCTCCATGAAATCCCAACAAAGGATGTTGATGCTGTAGTGCCCCCGGTTGTGCAAAGTCATGCCTCTTTCACCATTGAATTTGATGATGGTACCCCCGGTAAAATAAAGATAAAAGATCACGTAACTAAATTTTCGCTCAGACAGAGAAGACCATTTAGTAAGGAACCCGCTCATACAGAAGTAATGTCAGCAGAGAGCAAAGTGGCTGACTGGCTTGTCCAGAATGACCCCAGCTTGATGAGACGACAGTCTCCAGGAGACGATGTGTACAGTACAAAGAGTGACCTGCCAGTTCATGTGAGGACACTTAAAGGTGAGTGAATGTCTTGTCACATGGACAGGGTTCTCTGCTGGCTGTGTCACAGCAGCATAATAAAGGGGGAAACCCTTCTCTTATCAAGGAAAATTGCACTGACTTATCTCTGCCCCCAACTTGCAAAATGAAGAATTTTTAAAAAAATTTTTTTAATGACTGTTAAAGTTTTCAAACCCGGTTAGGAGGCTTTTTGTCCAGCCCTGAAGCCATGTATGGTGCTGGCCTGGGGACCGTCTAATCTGGTTCTTCCACACCTATAACGCCAGCTCAGCAACAACAGTGATGAAAAAAGGATTTTGATTTGTAAATGTCTGTAATTACCTTCATGTGGTCAGGCAGACTGGTAAACACAGGTATACCCGTGGTTTTTCTTCTCTTGGCTTCTGCTAGTTAAGGAATGAGTTTTGTTTTTTAGATGTAGTGTAGAAGACGCTAATTGTGGCTAACTGCTGATGGCTGTGATGACAAGAGCCTCTTGGGTTGAAAACCAGAGGTTCTGACTTGGAGACTGGTGACAGAATGGAGATGTACATGGTCACCACTGGAGGAAACGGTTGTGCTTGTGGAAGAAGATTTCTTCTTTAAACTAAAGCTTCTCTGAAATCCTGCTCTGTTTGACAACTCCAGGTTTCATGGACCTGTGTTCTTTTAAGTGTGTTACTGTGAGGAATTCTTTGGGGAATTTCAAGGGTGTGAGGTGTGGTTTGGAGCTCAGTGCTTAGAGCAGCTGGTGGGAGCAGTGATTTTTACTTTTTGCAAGATCTGGGTTTGCTTGGGAGCCTTTCTTGGAGCATGCACTGAACAACTAGGAAAAGTCCACTGCTTCCTGAATTCTCATTGCCTTTGTATTTGGAGGCCTTGCAGTGCTGGGGAACTATTGTTTCAAACTGGGCCTTTGACTGATGAAGTCGTATTAAAGGCTACCGACCCACCTGTGCTTGAGGTTAACACATCTTTAAAAGAGAGCACTACTTTTATTTTCCCTCAAAGGAGTATTTGCTCAGTCCTTGTTGAAGAAATCCCCCTTGTAATATGAAGAGTTTTACCTATTATGCCTCCAACTTGCTGTTTTGCGTACAGTTTCTGAGAAGTCTCTATGGTCAAGAAGGTCTAACATATCCAGCCCTGGGGTTTGGCATGACATAGAAATTGAACTCTTTTGTCATCGCTGAGCTGCCCTGCCTGATTATTTAAGGTCTTCTTTTCAGTAGATGGTAGGTTTTATCTTTCATTTTTATCATTGAGATTTTAGATTTTATTGACTTGCTGGAGAGCCTTGTCTGCAGGGGGTACAAACGCACTTTAGTTTTTTCCAGAAGGCGAGAGCAGAACTACTAAAAGAGTTTGGCGGCTGCTGCTCTTCCTAGCATTTTCCTGCGTGATGCACAAAGAGAGTCTAGAGCACTAGACTACACTTGCCTCTTTGCTGTCCATGAGGCATAGAAAGAAATTGAGGTATTTTAATGCATAATTTGCATATCAGAAAATCAACTATTTGGGCATTTGAATAAAAATTACAGTGTTGGTGTCCCAAGGAGTTTATCTGCCTCTTTGGCAGAGGACAGCGTGCCATTTATTTGCGACAGTCTGGATAGCTGTGTAACACGTTCTTCCTGTGGGGTGAATTTTGAAGTTGTCTTGGAGGCTACAGTTGGCTGCTTACCAACTTTGGGTCTCCAGGAACACTAAGACACCCACCATTGTGGTTCTTTAGTAACATTTGTTCACTTTCAGGAACAGCATAGTGAACATAAAGCCTGATATCAAGACTAGAGAGTTGGGCCCTAGCTCTTTGGGAGGTACGTGGTGTTCTGCTGGGGCGTTTGTAGGCACAGCTGGTCCTTTTCCTTGCATCCTCACCAGCGGAGCTCTTAGCCATGACCCTTTAATCTAAGAACTTTCCCTTACAAGGACCAGGCTTATCAGCCTTTAGGGCACAATGCAAGGTCTGCTGGCTTTCTTCAGGAAGGTGTTAGGAAACTCTTCAGATGCCTGACTCCTGGGTTTGAATGGTTCTTGTATTAAATTCTAATCTTTCACAGCTAACTCAAGGTAATAAATGGTCTTCACCCTGTGTCTGGAGAACTTGCAAAGGAGGTTTGAGCAGTTCTCTTTTCAAACACGTGGTATTTTAGCCAGTATATCTTGCTGCATGTTACAGTCTAGAGCGCAGAGACCTCTTTCCCCGTTCTCCCGATGACAGGTTCCCAGTCCTTGGCTGAGTCGTGTTGTGTGCCTTCACACCTGTTTCCTTCTTCAAAAAAAGGTTTGTTTTTTGTTTTACTTTAACTTACTCTCTTCCTGAGAGTCCTGAGCTAGGGTCCTGAAGGGCAGAGTATCATTGAAACAAAGCAAAGGTTATGAAGGCGGTTGTCTCTAACATAAGTGAAAATTAACTTAAGCTTATTTTTAGTTAACTCTGAGTATTTAGCCTTTGCTTGGCTGGTAATAGGACGGTGTGACTCATGGGCTGTCATGGGGTAACTCTAAAATCTTCAGAAAAAGTAAAGAAACCTGCAAGTTCACTTTTCTGTTAGCTGCTGTTTTATTCCCCTTTGTAGAGGAGGGTAAAGCAGGTGCTCGGAGGTGCACACAGTCAGAACGCAGTGATCACGTGGCTTTTTCATCGTGGGGATTTGGTTCCGTGGGATGCAATTCACAGAGTTTATTTCCCAATTCTGCAGAGAAATTTCTACTCTAAAATGAAGAGAACATAATGAGGTGTTCTTAGACTAGGGTAATTGGGCAGAACAACAAAATAATGTGCTTGTTTTTATTTAAATGGCAAAAAAGAAGCACACAAGACATTAGGCATCATTAAACAGAAGATAAGACATCATTAACATTATCAGTGTTACAAAATCAAAACCTCATAAAGTTAAAATGATTTCTTAAATTGTTATTAATAAGTTGATAGCCAGTCAGTTGTGAAAAGGTGAGGTCGTGGCAGCTACCTTATCTCTTTCTCGCTTGATGGGACGCAGTCCTTGTAGCACAGTAGATACGTTTGGAGTTGTTTAATTTTATAGGGAAGGTATGAAAAGATTAAATTTTCAAAGATAAATTTTATAATGAAAAGATAAATTTCAGTTGCAAGGTAATGACAAGGCCACAGCAACTGAGAACATAAAAATCCAATCCATGCAACTTGTTTTTAGGCAATAGGCACGAGGACGGGACGCAGAGCGATTCCGAAGACCCTGTGGCTCCCAAGGCAGAGAAGGAAACAACAACCGGCAGTGAACGTGCGACAGAGCAAACCAGGCTGCAGCGCCAGATGAGGCGCGATCCCCACGAGATGCTGCACAACAAGCAGGCGTTCGTCATTGAGTTCTTTGAGGACACCCCACGGAAGAAGCGGTCGCAGTCCTTCACGCACAGTGCTCACTCCTCCCAGAGCGACACCGATCCGGGGATGAAGACCAAGGTTGAAAAGCGCAAGAGCACGTTGCCAGCGGAGAAGCTGGGAAGTGCAGCACCACCGTCCCACGTTGGGGCCCAGGCAGGCAAACCAAGTAACATCTCTTCTGGGACCCAAAGAGCTAGCTCCTTCAAGAGAGAGAAGACAGAGGATAGGATCAACTCTTCCTCCTCCTCTGCTTCCAGATCATCAGCTAAAACTTACGGGAGCGTTGGGAGGAAGTCTAAAATGGCTCAGGATTTTATGGCCGAGTACCTGCGGGAGACTGCTCAGTCTGGGAAGCCAAGTGCTGAGAAACCAGTGCCTCTGCCCATGCCAGTTGCTCCACACGTGGTTATATCCTCAGAACCGGAATCTGCCACTGCTCCATCTCCTGAGTTAAAGTCAGCCCAGGGCAGGAGGAATGATGAGGAAGACAGCGTGAGTGAGACGGGCACCTACACCATTGAGACAGAGTCGCAGGATAAGGAGGTGGAGGAAGCACGAAAAATGATAGATCAGGTAAATGCCGCTTTTCTGAACTGGCCAGCAGGTTGAGGGCTGAAGGCTCCGGCTCCTGCAGCTTGTGCTGAAGGGCCCAACTTTGTTAGCTGTTGTCGTGAAGGACTGCTCCCTTTTGAGTTGGGTGCGGAGGGGTTATAGATTTAGGGGTGGGGAAGTGTCCTGGCTGATATATGCTAAGGATAGGTGTGCAGTTGTGAACAAACAAACAAAAAAAGAAACACAAGCAAGCAAAAACCCCACCAAGAAGGCAAGGTAACCTCAAAGCAAAAAGCTGCTTTGCTACCAAAATGGGATTTGGATGCAAAAGTTCAAGAATGGGCTTGCTATATGTTAGAGGGAAAGACAACAGCATGCTCAGAATAAAGATTGGGCTGATCCTGCCAAGAGCGATGAAGGGGAGCAGCTCTGCTCTCTCGGACTGCTCACAAGCCTGCCTTTGCATTGCGTCACCTCCTGCCTGCTGCTCCGAAGACAGGAGCTGCAGCCCATCGCTGACGCTGCATCCCGCGGTAGGCCAAAGGAGGCGCAGGCCAGGGGCTGGTTTTCTTTATCTCTCGCAAGCCTTTAGAGGTAGGTGGTTCTGTATTTAGCTTTGCTTTGTTAGAAAGGTAGGGCTTGCTGGCAGGACAAGTGGCAGCTAGTCCGGATAGCAAAGGGTGTGGTCTGGGGCAAAGGCAATCCTAGAGGGATCTATACTTGCTTGCATTTTGCAAAGTGAATGATAACCTAAAAAAATAGATGAGAGGGAGGCTTAAAAATACCCACCCAACTAAGCAGCGCCAGGGCAAACTAAAGTTTGGATGACTTTCAGGTTTAACTGTCGTCTGCTGTTTATTATCAAAAGACAACTGGCAAGTTGCTGTGAAGACTTAGCGAGCGTAGGAAGGAAGGTGGTGAGCTTTAAAAGAAGCCTTAACTGAATCTGACTTTAGAGCTAGCTGTTTATATGGTGGTCTGCGTGCATAGATCTGTCTGATTTATTTATTTATTTATTTATTGCACTTGCTCTTTGCATCTTATTTGAAATGTGATCGGAAGCTTGCAGGGTAGGATGTTCTTTGTGTTGCAGCCAAAGCAAGGCCCTAATCCTGACATTAAACAGTGAAATGATCTGATGGGGGAATATGAGAAGATACCACAAAATCACAAATATTTCTGAGGAAGAGGGGTAATCTTGACAGATGAGTGGACCAGGTTCTGCTCCCGATTCTGCTGTAGACTTGGTGAGATATAGGTTATTGGGAAATAACTAATAACTGGACCTCAGTTTCTCTGTCCAGGAAGAAAGATAATACTCATTTCAGCTTTGCTGGGGTTTTGGAGTAACTCTGCTCTCCCTCTGCCACACATGCTCACCACTTAGTAGAAGTGAGAGTGGAGAACTCTGGAGTGGGTACCTCTGCCTGAATCTAGGTGCCTTCTGTGGTGGCGCCTTCTCTGAACTTCTAGCTAGGGAAGCCAAACAAGCCCTTCTGAGGCATGGGTTTGCTCATCCTTGTAACGGAGGCTGTTTATCTCCAGAGAGGATCTAGCCAGCTAGCTCACTCCTTGCGTCAGAGGTGAATCCGTTCCCAGGTCTTTATGTGGCGACTCAAGGTGGCCTTGTCAGCCCACTGTCTACTAGTCTGCTACAGTCTGTGAAGGACCTTGGAGACGAAGTTTTCCCTGGTTTTTTTTTTCAGTTTTTTTTTTGTTTCAAATTTTCTATGAATTAGCTGTCAGAGAGCTTTAGTGACGCTCATCTTAAATTTCTCAGGGCTGAAAATGGACTCTGTCTACGAAAGTTACTACTGTTAAAGGCAGTACACTGAAATAACAAGGGAAGGAGAAAAGGTGGGTGTGAGTAGGATTCTATGACTAAGTGCATTTAAAACTGCTACTGAGGAGTAGAGAATTTAGTTTGTCTGAAAGGATTGGCATGTGTTTCTGGCCATTTGGGATCAGAGTTTATATGTGACTAATGCTTTGTGGATTTGGATTTTGGACTAATGTTTATGTTTTCTTGTTTTTTAATCTTTCCCATGCAACCACCCTTTCAGGTTTTTGGTGTTCTCGAGTCACCTGAATTTTCCAGAATATCATCAGCCTTTAGGCCAATAATAAAAGGTGAAAAAGACGACTCTGGTTCTCATCAGCATCTAATCAGTGAAAATGGCACTAGTCAGAAGTCACCCTTGCTCCAGGCATTTGCCTCAAAAGCTATGAGTGGGTCTCAGGCTGATATGCAGGTATGGGCAGTCCAGGTGGATTTGGAAGTGGGGTGATGGAAGTGTAGGTGGGTTTTCTGTCTGGAGGGAGTGTGATGCATGGACTGATTTCCATTTTTGAGGAGACTGAGTGATGGTTGTATGAGAAGAAAGATTGGGTGGCTAAGATTTGCCGCAAAAACTGCCATTATAACGCTGCCTTCCCCAACTTGTTTTAGATGTCTGCAGCATCTCAAGGGAGTCAGAAGTGGGTGTCTAGGTGGGCGAGCCTTGCGGATAGTTACTCTGACTCTGGATCTGTCTCTGGGCAGGGTGATGGTGGTACAGGTAAGTCTCATCCCAATGTTACCTTTTGAAGGCTGAAGAATCTAAAGCGAGGCGTTATGAAAAGGGGGATTTGTCTGGCTGTGGCTTATTTTCTGTTTTAGCTAATGTATTTGGGGGAGAGATTCTCTGAGAAAGACAGAGTAAATTCCCAGTGGAAGGATATGGAAGATGAACCCTAAACAAACATGGAGAGAGTCTCTGGTTTGCATTTCAGAGTCATTCAATAAGTTCTTCAGTGTTACATTTGTCATGACTAAAGGGTCTGTGGGAAGCAGAAAGATCATAAGGGCCTTGGGAATTAACTACCCCTGTGTGATTCTTTGGACTGTATTATAATGCTAGAAAAAAAGCCCTTTGCAAGTTGTCTTGGAAAAAATGGCTGACTGGTGCTTTATAGCTTGGCATTTTTGTGCTTCTCTCGTGTCTCTGGCTGTGCTGAGGATTTTAGGAAGTTCTGGGATTTGCTGGGCTGGTGGCAGGTTTGAAGTGCGGAGATCAGCATAGAAAACTGGGCGTGGAGGGGAGCGAGGGAGTGAGAGGAGATCAGGCCCACATCACAACTGGGAAGGCAGCTTACAAGCCCCCAAGCCCTATAGAAACCTAAGAAGGGGTGACAGTACTTTGGCTTTTGTAAACCTTTTCACCCTTTTTTGTTGGAAATATTTGTTGTTACGAACAACAGCTGCAAACGAACTCAATAAAAATAAGAGGAAACCTTTATTTCAGGCATTACTCCCACAGTTTTCACCCTGTGTGAGAATCTGACTTCCAGTGTATGAAATATTACCTTAGTCAGAGAAACAGTTGTCCTGGTATTTAAAGGTGACAGCAGATGGGAACTCCTGAGCAGTGACGTGGGAGATATAAGAGCACTCTTTTTGTGGAGTGTGTCCATACTGACAAATCTGCCCACGCTGGGGCAGTGAGCTCTAATTCAAAGACTCTTCACTGTTACGGTCTTTCTCCTGAGACGCTACTATGGGATACGATCGTACAAGAAGTTGTGCTATGGAAAACACCATCCATTTAGTGAAATGGGCTACACTGTGTAGAATGACGCTCGGAGTACTGCATCTCTGTAGTGGTTTGGCTCATGGCTATTCATCTCCTTCCTGTGGCCTGATACATGGTAAATTGATGCCAGCAGACTGATAGCATGGCTTCTAAATGTTTGCGATTGTATTGAGAGGTAGATCACGTGAGAATGTCAAGGCCGGATTTCAGATGGAAGGTGCTGATGAGCAGTCTGATCCAGCAGAGGGATTAAATACACTTTTATCTTCAGTGTCTGTGTAGAAAAACCTGCAGAGACTTAGAAAGAGCCTGATCCTGTTGGTGTTCATACTAAACACAAGCTTAATTTTAAGCACGTGTGTTGTAAATGCTTTTGTGGACTCACACTTAGCAAGATCAAGCCCTAATTGAATAAATAAGATACTGTGGTAAAATATTTGACGAGTGTGTGTTTATCTCTCTTTAGAAAGTAGTGTGGCTCCAAAACCTGGGGAACCAGAAAACATCATGCCCTCGAGAACAAGGCGCCTTCTTCCCCAACTCCCACCAAGCGATAAATCAGACAGTCCCACGCCTACAGTTCTGATTTGTCAGGAGTCCTATTCCGAGGTTACAAAGAGAAGCATCGTAAAGGATCACTGCGTGGAAGCCTACAGCGATCCCAGCAGCCGACTGTTCATCCAAGAAGACTTGGATCCGGATAGCCTCAGTGATGCCAGCAGATCTGATGATGGCTTCAGCGCAGAAAAAGGCAGGAAATATAAAGAGAGCAATAAAATGCCAGAGCAGGCAGGGGAAGACATAAAATCTGAGAGCCGGCAGCCGGGAGCCCCCCGAGTTTCAAATATGAGAGTTGTAAGTGAGCCAGTTTCTACTTCTTTCTACATTGGTGATGACAGCAACGATGTGGGGATTCCCTCCAAGCTCTCTCTGAGCATGTCCCATGCTCGAGCAGAGAAAGAAGGCAAGGATCAGGAGTTTTCCTTCAAGGCTGCTGGGGCACCTGTTTCTGGAAAGCCACCGGTCAAAGATGTTAGTGCTTACATTAATGCAGCAGGAAAAATGGTTATTTCTCTTCATCAGTCTCTTCCTCAAGATCAGGAAAATGTAGCAGGAAAGGAGATGTCGTCTTTTGTTAGACAAGAAAGTTTTACCAAAGATAAATCGAGCAGTGCTGTTCCTCAAAATAAACTTCCGCATATTTCAAGTCACCCTCTGCTTAAAGATTTAGAGGCTGTTCGATCAACTCGTATGGACTTTGGTCAGGACACTCATCTTCTCCTTAAGGACACTGAAACTGCCTTGGCAGCACTGGAAGCCAAATTACTTGGTCAAAGTCAGCAGCTGGAGCCCTCGGAAACTGCTGGTCAGCTGGAGGACTCCTTGTCCGGGGACTCCGATGTGGACACGGCCAGCACAGTCAGCTTAGTGAGCGGCAAAAACGTCCCGACGAGCGCCCCGAAACGCAAAGCTGTCGCTAGCTTGCAGAAGGAGAAATCTTCCTCCACACCTTCCATCCAGGACCAGTGCGGGCAGCCTAGCGCTCGGGACAGGTTGACGGAAAAGCGAAAGGCGCAGGTGCCGGAGACAGCAAGCCGAGCAGAGGCGACCAAACGCTTCCAAATGAAGCGGAGTGCCGGGGCTCGAGGGTCGCTTGATTTTACAGATGATGAGAGAAGCTCGAGCCTACCCTACCTGCCAGTCCCTGAGGCAGTGGCCTCTGACCATGAGCACTCGGTAACCAGGCCGATTCCAAGAAGGAAACCTTTCACGCAGGCTGCTAAAGAGGATCAGAGCAAAACAACATCGAACGTGCAGAAGATCCAGCAAGTCCTCACCCGCTCCAACAGTTTATCAACCCCACGGCCCACAAGAGCCTCCAAGCTACGTCGTGCCCGGCTGGGAGACGCTTCAGACAATGAGTGCGTTGATACTGAGAAAACAACCTCCAACCCCGAAGCCACTGCTGCAGGGTCCAAGCAAACCACGGAGACTAAAAAGCTCTCCCGGCTCGACATCCTCGCCATGCCAAGGAAACGGGCTGGCTCATTTACGGTGCCAAGCGACTCCGAAACTGCGCAGTCGAAGACGGGGTTTTCAGGCCGGAGTGTGGAAGCCTGCCGGAAGACGGGTGTTTCAGAGGTCAGAGCCGCGGCAAGGAAAACGGTAGCCGCCAGCTCGGCGAAGCAGCCTTTCAGCAGAACCCGCTCCAGCAGTGTCAAGTATTCCTCCTCTTCCAGTAAGTGCTTATGCTTTATGGTTCTCCCATGTTGCCCTGTTTCTAATTTATGGGCTGCACATGGTTACCAAGGATTGACCTCAATAATAAAAACGCTGCGTTGGTGAGTAGGAAAAGGAAACGAGGGAAGAAGATTGTGGAGGGGGAGGGAGGGAAGAGTCTGCATTGATAAACGTGTGCCAGAGAAAGTCATGGGTGATATTTCACGTGCAGTGGGGTTTGGAGACAGCAGAGCACCTCTCATGCCCAGTGAGATGTTACTGAGCTGTCCGCAAAGATATTGCAAATAGCTCTTTTTCTTTTCTTTTGTGGTGCCCTTGTGTTTTTTAAGCAACTGATTACCATTTGACTGGAGAACATAAGCTTTTTATTTTTTGTTGTTGTTATAAAGGTAGAAATTAGTTCTTTTCCCCTGCTACATGGGATTCTGTTCTGCTTTTCTTTGACTTTTAAGACTCAGTTTACATCAAGAAAACTTACAATGATGTTGATGATAGCTGATGTCCAAGGTGGCAAGTTTGGAAGCATCTGAAATCAAAATAAAATAAGAAATCAATAGCCCTGTTTTTTGAAGGCTGTTTTCTTATTTTTTTTCTGTAGATGCAAAAAGCGGAGCTGAACACTGTATTTTGATTGCCCCAAGAGATTCCCTCCACTGTGTGTTTTCATTCCCTTTTGTCATAGGTAATGAAGCTGCACAGTTGCTCCCTGCAAGGAGGAGGTTTGGGGGCTGTCCTGCCTTCTAGCTGTGCAATTAGCAGCCTTTTGTGGACAGACCCTTGCAGTATTAACATGTGTCATGTTTAAATCAGCCTTTATTTAAGAGGTGGAGACAATGCTGATGACGGCTCTAGTATGCAGATTTGTAATCAGACATTGCCTGGGACATGATTTATGCCTTTGGTCTAATATGCCCTGGCTCCTTGACCTACCAGGGATGCAGCAAAGCCATATCTGTTTGCTTAGGTTTTTAGGAATAGCAGGGGGGGGTTAAAGGAATGGGAAGAACCCCTTTGGCAGAATTTCTCAGGCCTTTAGGGACAGACGTTCTTTTCAGCTGATCGGTGATTTTCATAAGGGATCTTAGAATTCTGGAAGTGTCTTTTTCATATACTTTCATACAGTTGAAATAATTATCTTTCTTGCACTATTCATTTTTATTGCATGCTAAAAATGTTATTTGCTGCTTGTCTTAATTTGGATTGTTTTGGCTCATCCCACTTCCATTTTATTTTAATGTTTTTTTTTCTCACATATTCGTATATGCATGTAAATCAGAATGTGAATAAGTCTTTTCTCTTGCCTTTTCTGAGATTATGCTGCTATTACTTTTTCTTATTAAACATTTGCAAATCCAAAGCAATATAATGTGGTCAGAATTTTCCAGACAGGAGGTACTGTTCCCACCTCCCTGTTATTGGACCACAGACTTCAAATAATTTGGAGAAAAATAATAAAAGTTGGCCAGTTCTTGTTTTAAATGAATTGGTTTTTGATTTCCAGAGCTTTGTAGCAACATACTAACACCTTCCCATGTGCATAGTTACAGCAGATGATGCTAATCCTTTCTTTGAATTAGTTTCTCTTAAAATACTAACCTCCTAATTCCTTGATAGGATTCTGGACCTTGCACAAGCTGTAAATGGGCTAATGTACTTCATGCTTCATAGTCCGGTAGCTACTGTGTGATGCACATTCCTCTACTAACATTGCAGATATTGTGAATGAACGGCTAGCACCCCGCTCCTGGAACAAAAGCGGAACTTGGATAACCTTGACTAGTGCACTGTGCTGTCGAGACATTTTTGAGCATGATGCAATAACCATTGAAAATACAGAGTTTCAAGCCTTGCGACTGTGGAGGCAGATGTGGCCAATTGATTCAAGGTTTTCTTAAAACATTTAGCTAACCACAATAGTTTCCAGCTGTCCCAGTGGGAGAAAGTTAGTCTTGCTAACGAAGGAACAAAATGAAATATCTGGCCAGGAGACAAGAAATGCCAGTAGATTGTCAGATGATCTGAAGCAACTTTATGTGAAACATACCTATCATGTCAAAATAATCCAAGTTACCAATTTTGAAAGCGAAGAGCCTGCCTCCCCTTGCTCCTGCATGTATGTGATTTGTTTATTCAGTGTGATTTGAATGATACTGAGAGACTTTGTTCTGATTTCTCTTGGCATATGGGGATGGAAAATCAGGCTCTTAATTTTGAAATTCCTGTTCAGTGACAGGGTGACCTCTTTATTCTAAACTTCAGTGTTAAAATAAATAAATGAATATATATATATATATATTTTCTGTATGTATATATGTATCTACAGCTGAAATATGAGCAGATTGATTTTTCTGTATGTATATTTTTTAATCCTAAGCCAAGACCTTTAAATAGCTATAGCAGAGCTAATAATGTCTGGGAATATTATCTTCTCTATATGGTAACTGTCTATAGCTTCTACCCACAACTTCTATGCCAAATTCAATATTTCTATTTATATGATTTATGATTCTAGCTTAATTTACTTGCAGTGATTTAGTATTATGATAATCTTGGTAACACAGTGAAGCTTTTAAGTACTGTAGTTTTAAACAACTTGGCTGCTGCTGTGTTTGGTAGATCTCCATTCTTCAGGGAAGGATGGAAGGGAATGAAACAACATCCATAGTGAGACAGCAGACTCTGGGAAGCCTAGTTTTCAAATAAGGCATTTGTTGTCGGGCCATCTCAGTACTTCCCATACAATGAGGACCTGGCTGTCTGCAGAACCTGTTGGGATAAATGGGTAGCTTCTGTTTCGTTTTTCCTGTAGAATATCATTAAGGGTGCTTTGGGAGGCAGGAGGAGAACGTGCAGGTGTGGACTCTTGCAAATAAAACCAAGCACCACAGTCTCTGCTTCACCTAGAAAAAGCCTCCTTTTGCTTGTACTTGCAGCTAACTGGTAGGGTGTCTGCAGGCTTGAAAATTGGGCTCTCCTTAGAAAAGGACTTCTGTGGGTACTATGAGGAGTCTGAAACATGTGCTTCTTACATACAGAGCTTCTGTGCACGGAAAGTTAAGTCTATGATGATTTAATATATTGAATTTAATAACATTCATTTTGCTTTTCTGTCGGAATTTCTCACTTCAAATTTGTATAGCGGATGGCAGAGCCGTGGTTTAGATGGTTTGAGATAAACTCTGGTGAATGTGTTGTTTAACCTAAAATCTGCACAGAAACTCTCCTTTCTTTCTGTTCTTGGGCTAGTTTTGTGTTACCTTTTCACCCTTTTGTAGTAATTCTTTGCTACTTTTCTTGGTCTGAAACCAATTCATTTTTTATAAGCATCAAGGCGGAGACCACAAGGTTCAGATTACACTTCTACTTCGGAGGAAGAATATGGCTCAAATCACAGCTCCCCTAAACACAAACGCTCCCATACTTCAACAGCCACACAAACACCAAGGATACGTGGTTCTGGGCTGAGCAAGCAGAAACACAACGGCAGAGAAACAGATGATGATGAAGACTTTGATGATCATCCGGATCCCTACAACTTCATGGCACAAACAGCAGAGATAGCAGAAATAGCCAGGTGAGGTGGGGCTTTGTGCATCAACCCATGTGTTGAAAATGTTTTCCATGATGTTCAAATCCAACCTAGATGTAGAGGTGGAAAGAAAGGCATTCTCTCTTCTTGTTGTATGTCCTCCTCTTCCCCCTTTCAAATCGGAACATCAATATGTTCAGACTTGAAAAGATTTCATGAAGATTTACAGTCCATGCCAAGCAGTGCTGGCTATACCTTCTCTCTAGAAAATGGCAAGTGCAAGGAAGCTGGGTTGTATCTTGGCTTGTTTGTCCAGTTGAAGCTGTGGACAGATATCCTCTTCCAGCCCTGCAAGGTCTGTTAAAAGATGTTACTGTCCATATCTGCCTATCATTGCTTTCTGCTGGAAGTTACTGTCTGCGTGGACCAATTCATGTGAGCACTCCCTAACTCTGTTCAGAAAAAATCAACTGGATTAGCTCAGTATGTCAACTGTTGAAGGTGCTTACTGCTCCCTCACTGGCTTCAGGCAAAGCAAGAGCTTCAGGGCAGAAACCTCTTTGGCAGAGTTGCATCCAAACAAGAAAATCTGTCTGAGAGCTGTGGGTTAATAAGTCGTTGCTTAGCTTGATGCTTGTGGATACAGGACCTATTGTATATCTGTGGTTGCTTGGAGGACTGGATCAGTAAAGAAGATTCCTTCTCTTCTTAAAAATGGTAGCATTTGAGGTCTGACATCTCTCATATGCCAACTGTGTTATGCCAACTTTCCAGAAATACAGGTCTTCTGTTGTACTGGCCATACTTGAAATACTTTCCAGTTTAAGAAGCTGACTTCTGGCTGCTGCTGGTCAGCATTTCCATGTTGTATGTATCAGTTGCTACGCCAGTCTCAAAAGGACTTTTCTGTCATGAACATTGCTTGCAGTCTGTTAGGCAACGTGTCAGCCTTCAAACAAAGCCGTATTACCTGTGATGTATGAAGCGTGGCGGAGGGGGAAATATTGACTTCCCTTGATACCAATATTTGTAGCAACGGAGAGCACTTTAAGTTGCAGAAGTTATAAATAAGTGATTGCATCAGATGTGTCTGGCTCTGCACATTGCAGAACTCGGTCAAGCAGTCTGCTTCGTAATTGCAGTTCTGATTCCCGTTGCTGCTCCCGAATTAACTGGGAGTGGTTTAAAGTAGTCAGAGTTAAAAGTGAAAATGCCACTTGTTTACAATAAGCGAATCACATAATAGATGTGTTTGGTGACAGCTATATCTGGGACCAACACAGATAGGGGCCACCTTACGCAAGCAGATCAAAATACTTTTTAAATTAGTTCAGTTATGCGTTTTCTTTCTGATGAAATGTTTTGATGAACTCACAGTTTTACTATATTGCTTCTTTTTTTCCAATTAAAGAAGAAAGTGTCTTCAGATGAAGCTAGCCAGCTGGAAGATTATTTTTCCCTTCAGGAGCATTTCTTTTACTTTTTCTTTACTTTTATTTTTGTTTTGGGGTTCTCTCTCCCTCTCTCTTTTTCCTTCCCTCTCTTTTTTTTTTTTAAAAGCTGTTCTAAAACAAGTCAGAGACAGAAATTTTTTGAAACCTAGAACAAGTAGAGCAAAATGTTTTCGATCACTGTTAACTTGACACCCGTCAAGGAGCTTGAAGTTTCAAGACTTGAGTCTGAAAACTAGGTCCTTCAAAAGTATGCCATATTTATTGCTCCCACTCCTTCCTCCGTTTTGGAGACTCTGGACGCATATTTTGATTTATAGTCTATAAACCACAAGGGAAAAGGGAAGTGTTTAGGTTTTTATTGTTATTTGAATAATAAAGAAAAAAACTGTTATCTTCCTAAGTGCGATCTAGCCATTTTGTTGTATACCATACTTACAGGAATTTCTTTAAGGCCTAAAAACTTAATGTTTTTTGCATGGTGGAGAAATGTTTAGTGTTTGGTATCCCCCCCTCTGGGCTCCCCCCCCTCCAACCCAGTGAAATATGGAAACAAGCCATGAATGTAATGGCCACCTATAGTTTTGTTAATCTGATTTTTCCTTTTTAAGGAAAAAGAAAGAGGTTCCCAAAAGAAAAAGTGACCATGTTCTATTTAAAAAAAAAAAAAAAAAGAAAGAAAAAAAAATGTGGTTGGGGAAAGAATCAAGAAAAATTTATTTGTGGGTTGTCTTCAATACTTCCTAGTAGCATGTAGAATTTGCTTTTTTTCAAACCATTACTTTGAATCTTACGTCTGCAAAGACATTAGATCAGATTCAACCTGTATTTCTTCTGCCACTGAAAATCTCAGGAGGCTCTTGGCACAAGAGCTCAGATAAGAGGAGCTCATGAAGACACACCGTGGCCGCCGACTACCTTATCGGGGTCTAGACACCACTGGGGTTTAGCACGATAGATGTGAACTTGTGTGAGGGGATAGGAGAGCAGTGGATTTACTTTGTTCTTGTACCCGGCTGGAGCGTTCCTTGGTGCCCTTAGGGATGGCTCAGCCTTGGGTGTACTTCCCAGCCCGCTTTCCTTAGCCCCTGCAGATGTTATAATTTGTACAAGCTTCCAGTGGTTGGCCACTAAAGAATCCTCTGTGGCTGCCCTTTTTTATTTATAACTCCCTTCTTGGTTTTTTTTTTTTTTCATTTTTTTACTACGTTAATATAAGGCTTGTTGTATGATGTATCCTAATGGCCCTCCTGCATGCTCTGTGCTTCAGATTAAGCCAGACCTTGGTAAAGGATGTGGCCATCCTTGCTCGAGAGATTCACGACGTTGCTGGAGACGGTGACTCGCAGAGTTCATCGGGGACGGGACCAAGCACCTCCCTCAGCTCTGTGCCCAACACTCCTGCTTCCACCATATCAGCGAGAGAAGAGGTAAGATCACAAACGGCAGAAATCTCAGCCTCTGAATGCTAGCAGATGTGTGGGGCCCAGCTGCGGTGGCAGACCAGAGGGCAGCATCCCCAGTTACTGCAGGGTGAGAAAGGACTGCCCCCCCTTCCCCCAAAAGACCCAGAAAACCCACAGCAGAAAGATGGACTGCAGTCTATTTAGGGTGCTGTTTATTTTGCCTTCCTCTGTGCTCTAGGCAGCCTTGCAAGAGGTGGGAGCAGGCATTTCCTCAGCATGGCTGCATGGGTATCAGGGCATGCCTGGCTTGTTCACAGCATCCTTACTACGTCTCCAGAAAGCAGTAGGGCCAAAATGGTGCCAAAATGTTGGATTCAGCTCCCCAAGACTTGATGGCCTCTAGTCAGACCTTGGTCCCTGAAGTCTGTACCCAAGGAACAGCATGGGGTGGCGTGCCGCACTCCTAGCGCTCCGAAGGCTTTCAGGAGAGCCTCTTTGGTTGACTGAGTCAAGGTGCTGACCGAGTGCTCTGGCTGCACACCAGAGCTGTGTACTTGGTACTTGTGCTGTGTCCTTTGCTGTGCAGGTGTTTCTTAGATCACTTCGCTCCATCTGTGTACTGATGGGCCAGGGCAGGACTCCTTGCTCTCCAGCCAGCAGGGTTGGGCAAGGATGAAGGGAATTAACTATTTCCTTGAATGTAAGTGTCAGCATTGTAGCAGCTGTAGAAGTGCTGTCCTCCAGCCCTTTGGATTAGCCACAGCTTCCTCCCAAACTGTGTAACACAGTTTAGCTGCGCCGAAGAGGGAAGGATAGAGGTCATTTCTTAATTTGGCTTACCAGCGCAGCAGCCCAGGGGCCAGCAGAGGTTTGCAGCTCAAACTCAACTGCAAGGTCACCTGTGGGCTCCAGCTGCTAATGTAAAATTGTTTATGCTCTTTTATTTACTGCTCAGATGGGCCTCTTGGCTCTCTGTTCTCTGACTGTTGTGAGGACTGTAGGCCTCTCCTAAACAGGATTCAAAGATGAGGGCCAAGTTTCTTATTCTGACAAGAGTGTTTGGAGGCTCTAGGACTTTGTGTTCATTATTGAAGTGCAAAGCAGAAGTTTAGAGAGATTCCCAGAAGAACAGGTGCTTGTGGCTGTGGTCAGCCCTGGCCTTCTCAGGGAGGGTTTCTACCCTTGGGCCATTTGGCTTTGTCTGAGCCTCTGGTACACAAATGTTTCACAATAGCTACAGGCTCTGAGATAGTGTTTTATTGTTTTGTTCCATTCGAATGCCACACCTGCAAAACTGCCTTTTTTGTTATTCGTCTTGAGCAGTTATGGTGACAAATCTACCCTACTTCAGTTGCAAACTAAATTCTGGCAGTATTTGGCAATGAGCAGCACTCAGCACCAGCTTACTGCTAGCCAAGCAGGACACCTGCCTCTTTTTTTTTTTTTTTTTTGAGTGCAACCATAAGTCAGCATATACGCAGGGATGTTCCCTGCTGTTAGATATTTCTCCTGTAGGTAACAGAGGAGGAATGATACATATCAGTCGGCCCCCTTGCAACAGTGGGAGAGCAAACGCAGGGCTGTGTTTTGCTCTGTGCAGTGCTCCAGGCAGTACCCACCACTGCAGCAGGGGATTGGTGGGTTTTTGAGATCGTATGGTGTTGTGAGTGAAGAAGCCCTGATAGGAGCCCGTGAGGACAGATTGGGAGCCATAATGCCGAATTATAAACTGGCAGTAAGGAGAAGAATTGAAGACGTGAGCATGCTTTGCTCTGGCACTCTGGCTCCAACATGGTTCCCCAGCACAGTGAGAGAGTATTGCTCACCCTTGTTGGCATGGCGTGAGACGCTCCTGTTCTTCATCCGCTTCTAGTACCTTTGGTGCACTCGGCCAGTAATAGCTGAAACAGCATTAAAGGCTCCTAAGTAGACTTGTTTCAGGTAGGGTTAGATAACCTAGTAATTTCAGGAGGGCCAGCAGCTTGGGAGACCATTTGAATTAGAGCCAGGCTGCTACCACGCGTTACTGGAGCTGTCCTGTGTTAACAAGAGCCAGGAGTAGGTTATGTCAGCAGGGCTTTCTGCGCCGATGCTGACACTTAATGCTGACTGCTGAATAGCTTGGGATCCCAAACTTTGCATCTTGAGGCTATGTTACAAATGCCAGTAATATAAACTGATTGTGGGGTTTAATAAACATGCCTCATATCTTTGAAACTGGATTAAAATCAGTGGGTGCCTTTGAGAGGGGGGCCTTAGGCAAGTTCGGGTGCTGCTGGATCTGTGTTATGATGATTGTTTTAGCTCAAAGCAGGATAGTCCCCTAGGAAATCTTTGAAGATCATAGTGTGTGATGCTAAGTACTGTGAATTTTGTGAGTGTTTAGTAAATAATTTTATATTAAATATTCTAGCAAAGGGCATAGTGATGAGAAGCTTCTACTATAGTAATGTAATAGAAACATCTGGTAAAGTTTAGTTTACTCTTAGTAAATGTGTGAATAAGCAATGTTTGCTGTGTGGGACCACCAGGCATTTTTCAGCCTGGATGAATTGCTTTTTAAATTACTTTTATTACAAAACTTGGCTAAAAATTAAAATCATGTGTGTACCCTTACAAGTTAAGATGGAGCCTTAAATTTAAGCCTTACTCTTTGTGTTTTGTCCCTTCAGGTCCAATATTGGCTTGGATGTTAACCAAGGAGGTTTTAAGTTCCTAGTGCATGTTCAGAGTGATGTTCTTTTTTGTAGCCCTCAGCTGTGCAGTATATAATAATACAGATTCTTGGAGCTGAATACTGAGCTGAACGCTGCTACAAGTTGAGCAAAACAAAAGGTGTTCAGCAAGGTTAAAACCTTCATGATTTCTGTTTCCCAAAGTCACGGGTTGCTTGGGATGCCTTGGATTGTGGATGTGTAGGTTTTACAGGAGCAAACCTTTGGCAAAGCTGAACAGTCAAACTGAAAACTCAGCTGCTGCAAGTAGAGTCGCCTGCATGGCATTCTTTAGGTTTGGTCTTTTTTTCTTTCATTCTTGTTTTGTTTTGTTTTAAAGTTGATAATGGTATAGCAAAAAACTTAAAATCTCAATTAGATTCCCGTAGCTGTTGCTTAAGGTACTTAGTATGACTGTTGGTTTGATGAGAGGAAACGGTGACAGAACAGAAAGCATGAGAACAGATCAGGCTATGCGTTCAGATGTCTTGGTCATGATGGAAATGATACTGCTCTTACAGTTTTTCACGGGTTGTGCTGAGAACTTCCAGACCATAGGAATATCTCCTGATTACTCTTTGCTTCTGACACTGTTTTCACCGCTGCAGCCAGCCTAACTTATTAATTGCTTCTGCAGTTCACAAAAGGATGCTTAAAAAAGGAAGCTTATCGTCTAAACACTTTGGCTGTTGTGCCCCTGTAGCATAATGTCTCATGCCTCCTGCCTGTTGATAACCTGAGTGCTATTGCATAGTGTTTGGGGAGCCTGGACCTTGGATGGCACACAGTTTCCTCTTGATTTCGCTCTTGAGAGCTGTGTGCTGTTGCCAACCCGAGCACCTCCTAGACGATATTTGCAATCCGTTCTTTGTGCTCAGAGGGCTGTTGGATTTTGCCCAGCACAGTCCATTGCAAAGTAAGTGGGGAGCTGCCCGCGACCACCTCTGCAGAACTGGTTAGTGACCAGATTCTCCGCCTGGTTCGGTGCATGCTGGGGGGTACCCGAGTGATGCTCCTCTCGAATGCGCTTGTGGGAATGTCACCCCAAAATAACGGCACTTGTGTTCTCTTTGATACTTGCTGTCACCGTCATTCAGGAGCATTGATCTCTTTGTTTCTGTTTTAACACAGATTGCTCGTAGATCTTTTCGGCTGGCATATCCATCTCAGGTGCACTTTCCATCCCATTATTTTGTACCTCTGTCTTGTCACTGTTATTTTCCTCACCTCCTTTTAGAGTTTTTGTCTTGTCGGTTAACCCAACAGAGTGGTTGTCCCGTCTCTTCTGTTTTTCCCGTTTATTATTTGCATTATCAGTGGTTTTGTATTGCATTTTCATCTCTTCCATGTGTTACTAAATGGTTTCTAGTTAATTGGAATGTCCCTTTAATGTTACGTTGATCTTTTAGCTTGATATATTAAAACATAAGATACAGCAAATCAAGGCCTTTCTGAGTTTTAATCTAAATTCAGAAAAGACAAAGATGTACTTTTCAACTAGTAGTCAAACTCTCAAAAGTATAAACCGGGAAAAGCCCTATTGAGTTTTGGGGGATGACTCCAGTGGGTAAATGTTTGCAGGACTGAGGTCTAATGATTTGCTTGGTAAACCATACCTGTCTGAACAAGACTTAAATGAATCGGTGTTCCTCTGGGGCTTGCCTGAAAATCTGTAATACCTGCAGTGACTGCCTGTGTGCCTCCTGCCTTACCAATTTATAATGACTCATTACTCATTATTTCCAAGTTGGTGCAGCACATTCCAGAAGCAAGTCTGAACTACCAGAAAGTGCCTCCGGGATCAGCAGAACTGAGGGATTTTGACCAAAATATGAATGATAATAGAGAAGAGGATCCCTCAAGAAAAACAAGGACAAGAAACCGCGAGGAGGCAGGCGACCTTTTCTTTACTTTCTAAGTTTATGTATGACATTGTTGTAAGCGATGTAGTATGTATATATCTCCTCATTATAAGCTGCCAAAGGTGGTTATTCAAGGAAGTGCACTTCTTAAGAGCCCTGACTTGTAGCATAGAAATACATAGTTTAAAAAAAAAAATAGAAAAAAGGAATAGAATCACCCTTCTAACCAGTGTTGACTGGAAGTTTCCTCTCTTATGTAAAACTCCACTAAAACCTGAGGCTTGATCACTTGCTGTCTGGGGCGAGGCATTCACAATGTCAGAGCCCACATAGGCTATTGCATTGCTCTCCTAAAGAAACAGAAAAGGCTCACATTTTGAAATGTGCCACACCAGTGGTTTAATGACTGGAAATCTTGGTGTGAGAGTAGTTGTTCCTAATCAGTAAAGGTACCTTCTGCCACGGGCATGCTAGTTGGAGCTGCCCGCGGAGCAGCAGCAGCAGAAGCTGGACCTTGTGACAGATCTCTGCACTGGGCTCGAGTGCTTTGGCACAGCAGGCTCCCTGCCGGGTCCCTTGCAGGATGCGAGCCCCAAGTTCTGCTTGGCTCGCTCCAGTGTATGCAGTCTGAACACTCTCTATTCCCTTTGTTCTGAGGTGAGAGAGGGAGGCGACTTAGGAGTTAAGGGATGCTACTAAAGGATGAGGAAGCCCGGCCTGAAATTCAAGGCTGGGGATGAGATGGGTGAGGGGCATAGCAAGGAGATGGCACCTGGGAGAGGAGGAGTGGGTTGCTGAGGTGCTATGAGGTGGGCTAGCTGTTGCTCTGCTCTGTCTTTTCCATGCCTGCTCCACTAGAGAAGAGCACGCAGGAGCAGAGGCTCTAAGGAGTCTGTGCCCTCCTGCAGGAAGGGAGAGCTGGGCTCAAGTGCAGTCAGCCCCAGCTCTGCAGGCGGAGCGTGGCTCCAGCTGACTAATGGAGCAGGCACTTGGGCTGAGCCATCCATTTTGATCATGTCCTGTGACTTCCTTGAAGCAATCTCTGACCTCTCCTGTAGAGAGGTGCCAAGGTTGAATAAAAGGTGTGGGTCCAGAGCGCCCCCAGCTGATGCAGGAGAACCTGAAGCTTTTGTGGCAGAAACCTGTGGATTCTGTTGTGTAACAAGACTTGAATGTTTTGGCTTTGGGTTGTTTTTTTTTGTTTAGGGATTTGTTTTTGGTTTGTTGTTTTTTTTCTTGTTTGCTTGAACTGTGACAGAAATCACTTTACATGGTTTCAGGGAGACTACTTGTGGGACTTTTTGGGTTATGGGTCTTTCCTTTTTTTAATTTTTCTTTTTTCTGTTTTTCCCTGTAAGGCATGCAAAGTCTTCTAAGCTTTTTCTTTCTTTTAGTAGAAGAAATGCTTACATAGTTCGGTAACTGCAGACAACTCTGCCTCTTCCTATACTCTTGTAGAAAACAATCTGAATAAGTTAATATTATTTTTTTTTTTGCCAAACTGCTGCAATAAAGCTGTGTGGCTTCTTATCTCTCTTGAACTTTGTATATTGTTCCCATAGACAAAGATGTTTCAGTGGAGGTTTACTCTGAAAAATTCCAGTTTTGTATGCTAGTTTTGCTAAAAGATTTTTCTGTCTGATTCGCTTTTATATTTTAGGTAATCTTTGACAACCTGATGTTGAACCCGGTGTCCCAGTTATCCCATGCAATCCGTGAAAATACGGAAAACCTAGCTGAAAAAATGAAGTAAGTAACTTTTCGTCCCTTACCTGAAATGCTGACTTGCTGCTGAATTCTTTTAAGAAGTGCAGATCATGAATTTGTTGCTTGCGGAAGATAATGCATTGTCATCTTGGAAAGTCTCTTCGTCTAGATGCAGGGAACGGTATGGGTAGTGTAGGAGATGTAACATAATTGCTTGTCATCTCTTTTCTCTTATGTTTGGATGAAGATGCCTTAACTTTGCCTTTAAGAAGTGTCACTCGTGGAAAGAGAGGGAAGAAGAATGTATTCTTGTGGGAGGGTTGACTCCCCTTTCTTCCCCTGTCCCAAGACTCTCGGACAGCCTGTGGATCACCAAGGCTTGCAAAGGCTCTTCAAAGCCTGCTGTTTTTCATTTGGGGAAGGACTTTGGGTTGCTCCTAAATTAGCTGAAATGCTCTTTGTCCTGTCGCTACTCTACTAATCTCCTTTGTTGCCACATCTTGTGATAACTAAGTCTTTTTATTTTTAAAAAAGCAGATTTTGGATGGCAATTTTAAGATCTATTCCACTCTGTGTGCTGCAGGATTCTGTTTCAGAACTCAGAAAGGACCTGGGAGGAGATGGAAGCCAAAATTAACTCGGAAAATGAAGTGCCAATTCTGAAGACATCAAACAAGGTAAGACCGTGAGACCTAGTGAAGTACCAAAAGCTTGTGTCCATGGAAGCTTTATAAGAAACCAGCCAAAATAACAAGCTCTGGCACTTCTCACATCTATTTCTGAAATTGTTAGTCTATTTGCATGTGTTGAACTGCCATTTTTTGTTGCTGTTATAAGCAGTAACAAGGTGAGCTCCTGCAACCAACAACAACAACAGTTGTTTTACTATCACTTTCACCAAGCTCTTTCTTATAATTTGTCTTTGAAGACCCAGTCCCTTAGCAGATGTGCAGGTTCAGGGTCGCTAGGTCTTATTTAAGCATCGTCCCAAACATCCCCTACAAGAGCAGTTCCCACAGCTTCGGTTGTAGGTAGGTGTTTCTCGTGGGTGTGTGTTTTCTGTGTCTTTTGCAGTTTGATAACAGGACAGTAAAAATGCTACACCCCTAAGCCGAAATTCCCATTTGTGCTCTAGTAGCCTCTTATCATTTATGGAGATTGCCAATAGAGGTTTAAGTGATGGACCCAGCAAGTTTGCTTAATGTTAAGGGCACATACAACTCTGTGCAGGAGCTGTGCCTGTAGGCTCAGCTCTACAGAGGTATCTTCATAGCTAATTGCTTTTACTGCTCTAAGAGTTAAGCTTGCAAATATCTTTGTAGTTCTGTTCTTATATGGGTGTAGAGGAGCCTTTGTACGCTTCATGTCCAGATATCTGGCCAGCATTTGAAATCTCAAAACCATTGTAGTTATGAGATGAATGGTGTAGTAGCATTTGGGAAAATGAGGCAGAGCACAGGTCTCTTGGAACACTGACCAAATCCAGCTAAATACAGATACTAGTTTTGCTTTTCCTGCTCAATAATATAGTAACTTGAGCAAGGGTGGAACTGAATGTGAATATACCTGATCGGAAAAAGGCAGAAAGAGTACGACAAGTTTCTTATCGTAGTTGAGTACTTGGTTGGTTAACTAACTCTCTGTTCTGATGCATTTGATTCTAGGAAATCAGTTCTATCCTGAAGGAGCTCAGGAGAGTTCAAAAACAACTTGAAGGTAGGTCTCTCTTAGTGTTCTTTTTGTCTCATAAATGCCAGTAACTTGTACAAAATGAAATACTGTGGCTTGATTTGCCAGTGAAAACTGGGAAAAGATGCAGTAGTTCAGTTTGTTTGCATGATGCTCTCAGACAAGTGCATATGGAATGAACAGTAGATTTTTACTCTGCTGCCAACTTTTAAGAAAAATGTTGACTTTTGAAAAGTGGAAGCTATTGATGTGGATATACTTTGTGGTAATTAGCATGTTCATATCAGAATAACTGGCAAAGGTCTTTTCTGCTGAAATAATGTTTAGCAGCTCTTTCAGCCAATAAGTTCTGTGCTTTTGGCTCTCATTGACCTGAATCTTGCATGTAGAACTCCGTGAAATAGAGAAGGCAACATAATCTCAGTGGACACTTCTTGCATCCTATAGAAACTTAGATGTGTTTAAAAAAAAAAAAAAGTCTCATCTTGTACAACAACAGAAAGCTTAAAGTCCTCATAGTTTTAGTTTGGGAGAGGTTTTTGCCTATTAAAGTTGCTTATATCTAAAGATATTAATAAATAAAATATTGTGACTCTAATGAACACAAGCACTGTCCCTGTCTACAATTCTGAAGGCTAGAAAACTTCTGTTCAGAAACTCTGCTGAGTGCTGCTAATGTGTGTGTGAGTATCTCTCTCTTTTTTTTTTTTTTTTTTTTCCCCCCTCCCCTTTTTTTCCCCAGTCATAAATGCTATCATTGACCCTACTGGAAACTTGGATGTGGTTGCCAGTAACAAAGCATCTTCTGCTGCTAAGCAATCTACAGCTACTAAAGTCAGGACTGCTAACGCTTCTGGGTCCACACTGGAGACGTTGTCCCCAGCACAGATGAGAAACTACACACAGAAATCGAACTGTGGGTCTTCTAGCTTACAGGATTCAAATTTCATTCCAGATGGGGAGAAATATGTGATCTGATACGGTATTTTGTATTGCTATCATATTGTAATCTACTGTCGCATTAGTACTGTGTATGAGTGGTTTGTGGACAGTTTGTGTGGAGCAGTTGTTTAGATTGCTAACACATTGCACAAAAAAAATCTATGCTGGGAGGGTGAATGGCAAGTCTGTGTATGCCTTTTAAACAAGACAAGCACTGTGGAGCAGCACACATTCAGCATAGAGGCAAACTGATTTTTAGAAAATTACTCACTTATTCTTCCAGTGTGCCATAAGAAAACAGGCTTTACGTACCCTCCATTCAGTGCGACCGAAGCAAAAGTGTTCTTGCATTAGCCTGTTTATAATTATTCAGTTGTAATGAGGTGCGATTTTAAAAAAAAAAAAACAAAAAAACCCACTTTGTTTGGCACTAGATTTGTTTTGATTTTGTTTGTTGTTTTAATTTTACAAGTGGAGCATTACAATTCTGTTGGAATCAATGTGCAAAACCAACAGAGTGATGGTGCAATATAGCAGGTTTCTAGGAGAAACTCTTACTGCAATTGTATAAAAAGTCCTTTTCAGTGCTTATAAAAAGGAGGCAACACTGAAGTTGTGTATCGTGTGTTCAGTCCAAAAACCAAAATAAGATAGAACCCTTTGTTTTTCCATTGGAAAAGTGTAAAAATTAACAGTGATGGTATGAATGTAAAAACTACTAATGCAGTTTCTGTTTTTGACCAGGTTGCAGGCCCAAAGTTTCAGGTGTAGGTACAAAAAATCAGGTTTTACACTTTAGCTTGCCAAATTTTCATGATTTTAGTACAATTGTCATCTTTAAGGTTTTTTTTTTTTTTTTTAATATAAAATCTTCTAAAAATGAGCTACAAATGCTCCTGGTTGGGCCAAAGACCAAGATGTTTGTGATCAGCTAATTTCTAAGAAAAACATCTGTTCCAATGGCTTATGTAATAAACTTAATTGCACAGTTGTGAACTAGTGTTCACTTGATGGCACTCTAAAAATAATGGCTTAAATGTAGCTTCACCTTTACTGCTAGTTCTGTCATGCAGTTTTTTTCAATGCAAATGTACTTGAAAACCCACCATCCTCTGCTATTCTTCAGAAACTATTCAACAGTGTCAAGCAGTTAGTGCATTTTAAATTTTTGTCTGGAGTTTATTTTTGGTCTGTTATGATCCTAGGAACACTAAGGATTATTTGCAGTTGCACTGAGCATTTTCTTGTTTAAAAAAAGTTTCTTTTTGTAGTCTATCTTTCAGTTAAGCTGCAAAATTCTAAGCAATTTTTGTGGCTTTGTTTTAAGAAGAAAAATTTTGTTTTTGAGGGGACCTCTTCCAGATGTGCTTGCTTCCCGTGTGGTGTTTTTTTCCTCTTGTATCGATTCCTTTTTCATTCTTCTTGGTCAATAAACAATAATCAGGTAAAGAAATCTACTCTTCTTTCATAGGTTATGGTAGATACGTCTACTGGGAAAGGTGAGCAGATAAGTTCCATTTTGCCCTTATACAGCGTGTCGTTTAACCAATGAAAATGTTTTCCCAAGCTTGACTGCTTTTTGTGTGCTGACTTCATATTTTGGGATGGGTAGGGGATACTTTGTAGTTAGCTTAAGTAGTTACCTGAGCTTTTTTCTAGGATGTTGTAAAAGTGGGAACCAGTTAAAATAATTTAAATATATAGGGATGCTCACGCAGTCTTTAATCTACTAGCAAAGAGCACGATTGCTTTCCTGGGGAAGCCAGTGGAAGCTTCCTATTGATTTCAGCAAAAACAGGATCAGTCCCAAACTGGGAGTATGCCAACAGGCCATTAGTTTCTTTTGAGTGTGGAAGGTGCTTGCTGGCAAAGAGTAGGTATAAATATCCTTCTAAGATTTCCAGTAGGTAATAAGACTCATCTGCTTGTGTGGAGATGCTCTTCTGTGAAGAAATCTGCTGAATTTCACAGATGACGACAACATTAAACATACCCTGCAGAATAAAAAGAAAAAAAAATCGTCCTTGATACGTTCCTCTGTCTGTAACATATGCATTGTCTGAATGTGGTGTTCATTCAGTCGTTTATTCTGATCTGTCTTTTCTCGAAATACCTGACTGTGTCCTTGATGAATATCCTAAGTGGTAGGATTGTTCCTGACATCTATGACGCACTTTTTCAAGCCCTTCTTGGATAGGGTTTGATATGACCAGGTGCTACCCCAACTCACTAAGAGCTGAGACCTTCACAGATAAGGTATTGCTGTTAGTTTCGGTTCTGATATAGAGACACATTAATTACTCAGACATCTGATTTTTATTATTATTTGTTACCACGTTTCCACATCTTCATGGCTATGCTCTAGTGGATTTTGTTTCTCTGCAACGCGTCCGTGATGTGACTTCTGTTTACTTTCACTTGAAAATTGCTTGATTCTTCCTTCATTCATGAACACATCAGGGATGGATTTTCTTCCTTGGTTGCTCTGGTCTGAACTTGAGAGAGAGCCCACAGGCACCTTACATCAATTAAGGCAACGCATAAAATATGATACCTCTACAAATGGCTAATAGGGATGCAACAGTTGGTGTCTGTTAATAATTTGGAAAGTGTATGTGTGGAGGGAGAAGGAGAACAGCTTGATTTGTTTTATTTATGACTCAACCAAAATATAAAATGCTTCTGTGTCCTGACACAACATTCATGCTTGAATCTTTGCATTCGAAACAGTCTTGTTAATCAGTGGTGAAATGTAGTAGGTTTTTCTGTATTCACCGCTTCTGAAGTACACCCTGTTTGCACTTGTCTGCTCTGCTCCAGATAAGCCAAAGAGCTAGCCACATAATTATAACTCCTTTATTCACTTTATTCATTGTTCATTCTTATAAGCAGTACTGTGTGCACCGATGAAAACATGCCTCTGTGTGATTCCAGTGTGAACATAACAGCTGCGTAGTGGTGTATCTAGTTGGCCCGGGATCAGTGCATGGGATTCCTGTTGGCTTCAGTGAGCTGTGGATAGGCTTTTCCTTGAGCTTGGTAAGGGCGGCACTGACCCGTGGGTCATTTTCATACCATGTTGCTTTCATGTTTTTTGTATTTGACTAAAGAAATGTAATGAGGCTGGGATTTTCAAAGTTTGAGGAAAGCGGGTGTTCAGGTCCTCCTGGCTGTCGGTACGATTTGGGTGCCTGATGCCTTGACACCTTTCAAAATCCCAGTCCGTAGTTCTTCCATTATACTTGAAAACCATGTTCTCAGTTCAGTTCTTTCAAATGTAAAAACTTGTTACTCTGCTATGATGGAATGAATGTAAATTCCTGTGAGAATGTGTACAAGCTTTGTGAGCGAGGACCTATGTATCTACAGCAATGTCACGTTGTGGTCGTGCTCCAGGAGAAAAGAACGTCTACATCATCTTTGAGTATTTTAGTAAAGGTAAAACTAGTGGAATGTTTACATACAGCCTACTGAGGGAGAGGGGAAAAAAAGGAAAAAAAAAAAAAAGTAAAGTATTTAAGTGCAAGATTCTACTAGTTTTTTCTTTGGGTTTGCAGACCACACTAGCTATTTTTGAAGTTCAGTAAATGTGTATAACTTTTGCAAAAAACAGACAGAACTACCTGTTCACTTTGGATGTGCCCTGTGCTGAATTGTGCCTATTTCACTATCTGCTGTTGTTATGCTGCTGATTCCGCTGTTCTGAACTGTTCACTGGATCATTCCATTTGCATGCAACACAAATGCAAGCTGAGCTGTCTGAGAGTAAAGCTGAAACACGTTTGTATAACTTCAATTGATTAATGATTTTCTCTTTTCCACACCCTCTTGAAATGCTGTGTATAATTTGATTTGTTTCTTCCACCCCTATTTTTTCTGCTTTTTTTTTTTTTAATGGTAATTTATTTTTGTTTGGATTATAGGCAGTATATGTACATTTTGTTCCGAGGTGATATTGTGGATGTCTTTAAAAAAAATAAATTGTTATTTTATATAATTTTATCATAAAGTTGCTCTAATAAATCATTCTTTTATCATGTGACAGTATGATTCTGGGTTTTTGTGTGTTAGTTCTGGGGTAGGAGGGAAGTGTGGGTTTGGAGGACTAAACAATTTTTCAACTGCCTCTTTATGTTAGTGTTTATAAATGCAATATAACAAAAGAATTGTCAGCAGCTGAAAACTAACAGTGCAGCTGGGTCCATTGTGGCTGCATCTATGGCCTGGACGAATCCCCTTCTAATAGTACCAGAGACTCCTTTCCCCCACCCCCATTCTGAGGGTGGTCTTCTGAGGATGCTCTTACTTCCTAGTTTGATATGCTGATGTTTTATTCCTTTTTTTTACTGTTTTTTCTCACTG